ACCACTACTACCACTACAACTACCACAACCACCCGCCCCTGCCACTACCACTACCATTACCACCAATACCACTACCACGGCGACGACGACGACTAGTACCACGAGTGCCAGTGCCACTACCAATACCATTACCATTAGCCACCAACACCACAATGACCACCATGAGCACGACCACGACCACCTCTACTACCACGACCCCTGTCACAGCGATAGCGACAAACACAGCAGCTGCTACGACGACTGCTGCTGCTTCGAGCACCGTCAGCACCACTTACGAGCACCACAACCTACCATAACCACTACAGACCTCGACCAGCACCATTAGCACCATCACCACCGCCCCTGCCACTACTGCCACCGCGACGGCTACCAGCGCACCAGCACCAAGCCGCAGCACCAGCTGCTCATGGCTCTCTCTTGGGCACTTGTCGGCTCGGCGGTCCCGGTAGACTCCCTCTCTTGGGGCGGGCTGCTCTCGCCTCCGAGGACAGAAATTGATTATACAGCGTACGTTTGGTCGAGGACTAAAGCCCTTTGTGTGTTGCAAGGCCACTATTCGTTGTCTCAAACCAAACTGTGGCCTCAAAATGATTGGAGTATGTACGAGTCAGTTGGAGTGTTGAGTCAGGGTCAGGCACAGTGGACCATCGCCCCAACCTGTAGGACTGGCTATCCGAAGCATCGGCCAAAGTCCACCACAGATTGTCAGGGTCTATATGATACAAAGGCGCAATGACTTGGGAATAGTCGTAGCTTCTTCAGCCTCAGTCGCGAATCGTTTAGTAGGGTGCCCCAGAACAACGGTATCGCCACAGCATGCAGCATGAAGCATCCCTCGATCTGTGCGGGGAAGCCGGGGTTTGGCTTTCATTCCCTGGGCTGAGGTTGGTCCAACAGGATCTAGTTACTAATTTGTCTTCGCCAGGCTAGATACTAATGTTGATGTGTTGCACCTGTTGTCTCTGTCATCTTCCTGTCTGCACGACCTGTCGATCTCCTTCCGAGCTCCCTAATACCTATAGTTCCAGCAACTCTAATCCCATACCTGCCTTGTGCCAGGACGGCCGCGTCGCGATGGCGCAGGGGAATGCATTTGGTCCGGGCCTCGCTGTCACCAGTCACCATCTCAGCAGGTGCGGGTGGAGCTGGGTTGCGGAAAAGCTGGTTTCTTGATTTCGATTTCAGGGTGAAGCTATGCCTCTTGGATTTTCGGAGAAGTGGCACTCCAGGCCCCGATGATCAGGAGCGACTGCTGGATGAGGCCACGGCGGTGGTCGAAGCCTCAGGTTCTCTGTCGTTCGGTGAAACGCCGAAAAGGAACTGTGTCGTGAGCCCAGCTGTCGTGAGTTACAAAGCGAGAGACCTCGTCCGGAAAAGTCCGAGTTGCGAGAGCACAAACCTCTGGATCAGTCGCTCTTGTGATTTTTTGCTTTGAGTTGAAATGTCTTTGTGTAGGGTTTAGCTTTGGAGGTCGTGCTTGCAGTTTGTGTCTTGTATGGGGCATGGACCTGAAGGGCGCATCTGCAAAAACGGGTACGGGATGAACTGAGGGCACGCATTTGCAGAGAGTCGCGTGTGCAAGCTACGAAGCAACTTGGTCGTCACAACGACCTAGACTCTGAGCCAGAGTTCCTCTGTGCCTGCCGGTTTACATTGAGGTTAGAAAAAGAGGGATTTGGTATTGCAAACCTGCTGCTCGAATGTCATGCACGGGAACTATACACCTCATTCGGGCTGCAGAGTCTCACAACTCTTCGGTCTGGAACGCTTTATGGCTGTGCTAGGTTCCACTAGGCTAGGAGGCTGGGGGATGATTTCAGATCACGACGGGGTACGAGATCCTGTGGCAAGAGACCCAAGACACTAAGCGGAGCCTGAAAGGGGTGCCCTGCTTCCGTCAGCAAAACGGCCAGCCGAGTCCAACACCCACATCCGCTGGCTTTGCTTCGGACTGGACAGCCATAAGTGGAAAGTGCCCTTGAACACTGAATATCATGTAGTACTTGAGGTCTCTGAATTCTCCGGTTGTTGTTTGCTGACCTGGTCTTGCTGCATCTAGGTGGTTCGTTTTTAACCGTCACCTTCAAGAAACATGAATCCGAGTACAAGGTCCTGAAGTGGATCTACTGCGCAAGCCTTGATTGACAAGTCCAACCCGGAGAATTCAAAACGTGGCCGAGGTGAAGGAGCAAGCCTTCTACATGCGCAAAGCCATCGACGGAGACAATGTGCGGGACGCGTTGAAGAACGCCTCCAACATGATTTGTGAGTGTGGACCTTGAAAGGGTCTGAGAATGGCGTGTTGGGTGCAGGGTCAAAGGTGTAGCGAAGTTGTGGTTTTGGGCTTCGTGAGGCGCTTGAGCTTTGAGACATGCTTGTCTGGTTAAAGCACGACATTTTCCATCGTGTTTGCGAATGTGTGCGGTTTGTGGCAGTTTCCCGCCAATGGATAATGAACAGCTAGAGGGTGAATTGGCATTGGGCTGCTAGTGTGATAGCCCAGCTAGTTCAACTGCTCGGGCCCTTTGATGACTCGAAAGGTTCGCTAGTGACACTGACAGGATCATTGACTGACAGGCTGCCATGCAAGCTGCCAGTGGGTTTTTCCAGGCCTTATCTAGTAAGCTTAGTAGACCCCAGACCCATTCTATGGAGGCTCGTCGAAACCCCCAAAGACCCCAGACATTTTGCGAAAGTCGACGACGAGTTGTGCCCTGGCTTTTGCCAGAACCAAACCTTTCGGCACTGCCTCGTAACAGTGCGTTGTAAGTAAAGTGTTCCGAGATCTTGGCGGTTCAAAGACCCACTCCAACTTGGCCTTTGGCACCGGCCTGGTGAGACTTGAGGCTCCGTACCTCCCTGCTGTCTCCGAAGAATTACTTCGAGCTGTACATGCAGGCGGTGGAGCTGTCTCTTGAGAGTGATCCAAATCTCGATCCTTTGTCGTTTGTTCTGGGCGGCCTGGGTGAATAAAGCGCATCGCGATGGGCCTGCCCCGACGGACTAACTTCCCAACATTTCCTCACCCCTTATTATAGTTCTGGGCGGTTACTAGTTTACAAAGCCAGCATCAGCTGTCATCATTTGAGTTCTGATTCTGGAAGGTCTTCAACGAGATGCAGCACCTGGCCGGTTTTTTCGGTGACAAGCGCCTTCGGCCCTTCTTTCAGTTTTTTCAGGGCTTACTTTTTTAATTTCAGGGCGGCTTCAATCATCCCAGTGCCTGCATCCACTCCAGCCACCATCCAAAAGAATCGAAGGGTTTCAGACCGAAACCTTGCCGTGCATGATGTGTGTCCTCGTTATTTGGGCAAGTCCAAGGTACGAATTCGAGTAATTAAAATCAACATGTTCGCAGGAAGTCTGTAGAAAGGGCGCAGAAATGAAGCGCCCGTGCGAAGGGCGGCTTTGAAGGAGCAGATCTGAAGCTTTAACTTCCACCGTCACTCAATCGACTCCAGGCATTTCAGGGAGCAGCATGACAGTGGTGATGGGTGTGGAATGTTCCAGGTAGGAACATTGGGTTTTCGGTTCGGGGTTCAGGTCGTGTCGGAGTTGTTTTGAGTGGTGTATGGTTTGTAGCACCACCTGCTGCGGTACTCTGCCGAGAGTCAGTCAGCACAAAGTTTCGAAGCCCTGCAGTTGCCAAGGGGCCGGCACAAGAAGAAGATGATTGATCTCTATGAGTCAGCGCTATGGCTGTGGTGAGTATAATTGCTGGGCAGGGGTTGAGGGAGTCAATAAGCCCGGGGTACGTAAGCACTGGTATTCTGGTCCGTGTTGCCGGGGAGGAAGCCGACATGCTTAAGCCCGGCAAGATTCGACACCAAATTTCAAGCCCCACTCCTTGGTGCCTCTGCTCTGCATATCGAGGCGATGGTAGTAAAGTTCAACCTTCTAGATCAGGCTGATAATTTAGCTCAGGCTATGAGCAACGAACTTCATCTGGCGGTTTCTGCTGCTGCTAAGCCGTTTTGGGCCTTAGCAGGTTGGCCATGTTTTCTGGATTGGATGATCAGACTTGGACTGCTGACCTGACGAAGCGGCGGAAGGGGGTCTAACACCTTTACCTGACCCCGCGGCTCAGACCAACACGGCTCCTAACTCGTCCATCCTATCTGGATTGCCTAGAGGTCGGTGATCTTCAGCTGCAGACTCTTTGAATAATAACTCCGACCTGCAACCCTAGGTTTGAAAGCCCTGCCTCCTCCCAGGTGCAGCATGCCGGCAACATTCTGCCCAGACTGTACTTGCTGGCAACAGTGGGGGCGGCTTACATCAAGTCCCTGGAAGCTCCAGCGAAGGCCCAGTTGATAGGCAGTGGTGTGGCCTGTGTGTTCCGAGAGACCATTGAACCCCCAGTCAGTAGTACCCGGTACCCGCAACGATGAAGCTCGGGAGCCTTGGGTCCCCATGAGAAGCAAGCTCTTCCGCTCGAGACCTCCCCACATCCGGAACCCATGCATCTTGTTTTGACATGATAACCAAATAAGCACATGCACGGCGGGTGCCGATGGTCCGAAAACATTTTCTGGCCCGGCAGGAAATTCTCAAGGACGTCAATGAGCTGTGTAAAGGTGTGCCGACCTGAGGCCATCATCCGTGCAAACCCCATGTCTTTGGACCCGCGTGACGATTGCCAACCCAGCCGGTGTACTGTATCATATCCCTCCTCCAAAAGTTGTTCTGACCCTAGAAGCAGTAAGTCGAGCACTCATGATAAGCCTTTTGATGCGACGGCGACGGGTGGACGAGCAGAGTCATATCACGGCAGAGCGCCGCAGTCGTTTCAAAGTCGCTTGACTGTGACTGAAAAGCTTTTGGGCCGTTTTGACACTGGCCACGCCGCGGCGCAAACAGAAAAGGGCCCGGCGAGTGGGCAAAGAAAGAGAGCTCGAGCCGAGCTTTAGCCACGGATCAAGTACTCAGCGGCAGATTGTCTCCTAACAGTCAAGTTCTGCCTATTCGATCTGGCCCATACCAAGACTAGAAGCAGTAAGTAGAGCACTGAGGAACAACCTTTTGCTGCGGACGAGCAAAGTCATTTCACGGCGGAGTGCCACAGTCGTTACAAAGTCGGAGCGCCTGTAGCTGAAGCCCGTTTCGTTGCCCACGCCGCCATCCGACACACGAAACAAACAAACCCCAAACCGACCACAAACAAAGGAGTGCTCCACTGTCAGACCAGGCCTTTTGACGATCCCGTTCCTCTTTTGGCTAGACCGCTGTGTGTAGTGCTACTGGCTGGGTCAGCCGACTCACAAAAGTGCAGTGCTTAAAAGCCGAGTGAGCATGCCGTTGATTTTGTGGAAAATACGAGCGAGACCAGGATCTTTCGGCCAGGGCGATGCTGCCGAAGACGCCGATGTCGAAGGGGGAGCCCGGCGAGCTTTCGGGCGACGCTCCACCGTCCCACGTCCGAGCTGATGCTGGATCGCTCTGAGATGCGCCTTCTGTCGATTCCATTCTTGTGCCAGAATGCAGCCGTCGTCCGCATCCAGCCGCACCAGCGGATCGTTGTTGAACGTTTCGTTTGATCTTGGGGGATGGAGCAGCCTCTGTAGCAGGATCTGCAGCGGCCGCCGCATCAATCATTAATGAGCGCGGCTGCTCGCTTCACGGTGAGATGACGGCTGACGGAATCTTCGGGGAATCCGGTAGGCCAGCGTCCTCAATCCACTGACGGATTGAGGAAGATTCAGGATGAGGACAAGACGGGTGCCAAAGGGCAGGTCACCTTCCTTTAGGAAGGAAGCTCGGCGTGTCCCTCGCCTGCGGCGACCTGACGGGTGAGCTGTGTGAGGGCTTGTGCCCGGTATAGAGCTGCTTCACAGTTTTAAGCACGCCGCCAATCACGCTAAGACTGAGCATAAATTCGAGAACGGGGTCAAAGCTTCTAGCACATTCCTTACCTGGCCTGGCTACGGTACGAGAATGCCATCAAGGTCTTTGGGTGCGCCGACGGACTTGAACTTGTTCCAAAAAGGGCGAAGTTCCTTCAAGCCCTGCAGAGGAGGATGGGCACGCTTTCCCTTTCAGCTGTTGCTATGGCCGGTTTCAGCCAAATGTTTCTTGCAGAAAGGTGTGCCACTGTGGGCTCCGTGTGGTTTCTGAAAACACGAAACCACACTGCACGTCCTACTTTCGCAAGAGAGCAGATAAATCTGGCTGTGGAGATTGCAGAAGCGGGAGGGTGTGCCAAGTGCCCAGGTGCAGCATCCTCTTCGAGGGCTCTTCCTCCGGTATTACCTGTCACAGATGCTGAAGGCTCCGTCCGACCTCAAGACAACGCAATCGACTGGAGATGTGAGCAGAATGAATAGGAATAGGACAAAACAGGCGCCCAGAAGTCATTGCCCCTTTCGCCGAAAGGCGCAGGGGCAGAATTGACGGCACACAATTGAAGCTGTAAGCCTGCGGTTTTTTCTAGTGCTAGACCCGAGGGAACGAACACGAAACGCAGGTCAAGTCCTTTAACTTGAAAAGTCGAGACGTCGTGACCACCCTGGTTCAGGACAAGCTGCCAGATACCGGTTCTGGCTTCGAAGGGGAAGGAGGGGACATCAACGATGCTTTCGACTTCATCTTCACCAACTTCCAGGAACTGCTGGGAGGTGTAAGGGGAAGTATTGGTCGAAGTGCATTTATGGCTTCGGTAGTTTGGCGGCTTTCCGAGGTGAAGGAGTTTGCAAAGGGACGGGAGAGGGCTTGCAAGGACTTTCGTGGATGCCTGGGTGGATTAGGGGCGCTGAGAGCATGGGCTCCGAGATTTAGAGCAGGACTGTCAAAGTGTAGAGATAAATTGCCTTCAGCAAAACAACTGGTCGATGAGGGTTAGGCCGACGAACGAAGGGTTTCCGAACCTTCGGGTATGGATTCTTTCGCATCCTTCAAGTGCAATGATGCTTCGGGCGGCTGCTGTGTGTAAGCGACGGCAGACGGATTCTAACCCACAACAAAGCTAGCCGCACCGTGCAGCACAGCTCGCAGTGGCCCACAGCTTGACACTATGTAGGCTCCGCGACTGTGCATCGGAAGTCGTCCCTCCTCCACGAAATTCAAACCAGACCTTGGAGTCTGATGCGAAGTGTTTGGGAAGCTGTGCATCTGGAGCACGGTCAGTTGACGGATCGTGGTGTGGGCCTTCTTGCCGAGACGTATGCGATCAGAAAGACTCAACAGGCGCTTCTGCAAGACTGAGTCAGAGGGACGTTGGATACAGCAATCTGAACTGTCCGGCTTCTCGCCTCACCGGAATGTTGATTCTATGATCTCGGATACCTGTAGTGGCAGTTGCCAGATCGCGTCTTCGGACCATGCTTCAAAACTTGAAGCCACCAGTGCTTTCCATGGTTTTTGGCCTGCGTCAAGAGCCTGCGTCAAGAGTGAAGTATGGGTTTAAGTTGCTCGTGCATGGATACGCCTGCGGGCGGTGGGGGCGTGGCGGCTTGTGTTTCCATGCCGCATCGAGGGCGCAAGAAGGACCATGACCTACCATCCACAAAGCCTGACCGCGGTTCTGCAATGACAAGCCCCAACTTGGGGCCCCCAAGCTGGTCCCACAGCACCGTATGTCACACAGGAGAGCAACCGCCTCTGGGCCGAAGCCTCAGTGGGTCAAAGTGGGTCAGCGGGAATCGATTGGCTTCCAAGCCCGGTCAGGGCAGTTCCGGCGCAGTGATGTCCGGGCTGTTTTCTTGCTTTCGTTGGAGCAACTGGCTGATGACATCGGGTTGTCATCAGAATCACACTGGAATGTCGAGGAACAGTAACAGAAGCCTTACAGAAACCAGCCTCTCGCTGCCTTCTTCCCAGGATCTGTATTAGTAGCTCCATGAGCGACGTCTTTGAGTAACTTCTGCAACCACTCAGTCCATCCATGGCTTCGAAGGCTAGGAGTTTGAAGTTCATTGCATGCTGTCACCCTCTCATCCAGAGTCTCGAGCCTCCTTGTGAACACTCTCACAGTTCAAGCTGCCAGAGAGACCCTCATGCCCAGGACACTACAGTTTCGGTTTGCGTTTAGAAGCCGGTCACCAGTCTCAAAACCTTGGAGCGACAATCTGTCACTGCATAGCCCGAAACCGCTATCTCCAGCGAGCTACAACCATGCAATCCATACCGTGGTTGAACCCCGACTTACCCAAGACAGCTCCAAGCAGCGATGTAACTCGGACAGCCAGGTTCGCATCCAGCATCAAGGCCCTACCAGGCCGCGTTGGTGCTTTGGGGACGGGTTTCAGAAGGTTTTACAAGCACGTGAAGCTGTTGTTCTTGGTTTACTGTAGGATCTCAGCAACGGCTAGAAAAGTATCTCGAATCTCAGCATTGAGTGCAGCCGTATGCGTGCTGCCGTGCTTAAGTCTTTGCCCTGTGCAGCACTCACATGCAAGAATCCTGCAACAGCACACGGAAAGCCCAGAACAACTTGCCAGGCTCGCTAGATAAATCGCACGATCCACCTGATACCTAGTGCGGCCTTGGGTCATGCCTTGTAGCTGCCAGGGAAAAAGATCGACGAGAAAGAGAGCGCCATGCATCTTGACTGAGTTGTTCAAAGCAGTCCTGGGGATCATGTAGCTTGAATCTCCAAGTTACCCTTTGAGATCTGAAGATGCTTGCGAATTGTATTCCATTAGCAGCACACAATGGACGTGAGCCCACAAGCTCTGTCGTCAAAGAGCCCTGGAATGCAGAGCTGGCAAATCTAGCTTCAAGCCTATATCCCGTTGTCGTTACATGTGATGAAACGTTGGTGCTGGAGTGTTCAGGAATTTGTTCACCATCACACGAGGTTTTGCATTGTAAGTGCTCAGCATTTGAAGGTCGTGTGTAGGACAGCATGGGGGTTACAGTAGCAACAACGGGTGCACAGCTTCGGTGTAGAAGCTATGGCTTCCTGGTGATTGAATATGCTTGAGGCCTTGGCAAGTTTTATGTGCGTTCCAACACGAGCAGAAGATTGCCACAACTTGATGGCCAGCGCCATTGTTCCGTGATTCTAGGGGTAGTTTTGGGAGAAGCAGAGTGTTGCTGGACAGCATTGCCCATTGCTGTAAGCAGAACCCCTGTAAGATTCTCGTGATGTTGTACTTACGAGTTACGGGCTTTGTGGATTGACTGTAGCAGTGGCACAGAGCTTACTCTGTGTGTAGGTTGTCGCATACTCGCTCAGGTGTGTTGTTTGTGCTGTTGAAGTTCATGTGTATGTATCTCTACGATCTAGGCTGGATGTGAAGCTTGGCCAAGGGGTCATCATGACATCCGAGCTTTCAAGCCGCTTCAACAGGGCCAGCAACCGTTGATCCTGAATTCGCCAGGATTTGCGAGTGCTCGTTGGTGCCAACCTCGTTCGACTTAGTCAGCTGGATGGTACTGCACTCAGGAAACGATTCAGCTTAGCAGGAAAGCTTCAGCGATTTCGGTCAAGATTCTCAAGTCGTCGGACGTCGGTGGTTACGGCTGTTAGTGCTCTGTTTGAAGCATTTTTGCAGAAATGCAGAGTTGAGGCTTTGTATGGTCTTCAAGGCCCGCTCTCGCCAAATCCCTACTCAATTCTGAACCCGAAACTTCTACCCTAGACTGCAAAGGACTGCAACTGATCAAGTCTTGGAGGCATGACCATGGATTTCTACGCGGAGACAGCCCTCCCGAAGATCCTGGATCACATTGTCTCGGTAAAGGACGTGATGCGGGGTGCTCGCTTCGGGCAGGGGGGGTTCACGTCTTGCACTTCGGTGAGCCAGTGCAGTCTGACACATTTGGGTTGCGTTTTTTGGGCATTTGATCCACGTTCCTGACGAATTTGAGCGTCGTAAGGATTCGTGAGGTGTTGAAGTTCAGGATCGATGCTGGAAGCCCGTTAGACGCAGGAGCAATGCAGGCAATGCAAGCTACATGTTGCTGGTGTCAGGGATGGGGAGTGGCTGTACTGTTACGGAAGATTCATCCCACCGTGAAGTGCGACTCAGTCCAACTAAGTACCGAACGATTGAGATCAAGCTGCTGCTCTCCCACTGCTGGAAAGTATAACTCCCTCGTGGTATTGAAACTGCAAAAAACGATCTTCACTCGAGGCATCCAATTTGATGTGTGACCCCGGCGGTGCCAAAGGTCCCAACAGTATCTGCTGGAGAGCATGATCCAAGTCTTCCCCGACGAGTGCCTTGGCTTACCAGGACTCCACATCTCGGATAGTGATTAGGAGTATGTTGGCTGGGAGTGAGAGCGTGGACAGAGAAATGGACTGGAATTAGCTGTTCATCAATGCGGGTGGTGCACATTGCGCATGCTTCTAGTAGTTAGTACTTGTTTTTATTGCCATGCTTTGTCTTGTAGGTGCACATCGTGCTTCGCCGTGTCAGTCTTCTTGTAGTTCCACTTCGTAATCAACACAGCCTTCTCAGCTTGAGACTGTGGGCTTGTCGCCACGCCTGCTTGTCCGATTGTCCCAGAGCGACAGTTGAAGCTACCCGTGGGGACGAAATCTTGAGGTTCCACATTCGCACTCTCGAGCAGATGCTTGCATCCTACGTTCGGGCGCTGCCGCCGGGGCCTGTGGGTGTTAGCAAGCTACTCAGGGATTGTGGGACTTCGGGCTGGCGTTTCAGCTAATGCCCACTCCTTAGCAAGTTTCGTGGACGCAACGAGCCGGAAGTTCAGTTTCTTACGGCAATGAACCACAGAAACCGCTAGGCTGGAATGACCGTTTGCAAAGACATAGACATCGATGTGTATTGCTTTCATTTGTGGGCCAGGGGTTGGTGTCAGCACGGGTCTGGTCGGGGTGTTCCGCAGTTGCTGCTACCCCATTCTCCCAGGAATGTAGACATGACGCCCATCATGGTTACGCTGTGCAACCGGCTGGCGAACTATCTGTCTGAGGCATCGCTTGTGTCGGACTTGGTTTGAGACATCTGCGAGATCCCTCTTGAATCAATCCTGCCATCCCAAGCTCTGCGATTTTATGTGCTTGCATGCCTGTGCGAGACCGCCATATATCTCTTTTGAGATATATAGATGAACAGAGAGAGAGAGAGAGAGAGAGAGAGGGAGGACCACGCCCCGAATTGAAGTGAAGTTAAGAGAGAGCAGGGATGGCTATATAGGTAGGAGGTTCTGGTTACACGAACCGTTGTGCTTTCTGACACTCGGACCTCGAGACAAGTGTGCGCCCGCAAGCAGGCGGGCGGGTGTGGTTTTGTCTCTTCTCAAGAAGAAGCAGAAGCCCTAAACCCTAAAGGGGGTTGTTGCCTGCTTTCCTTGTTTGTGAGAAGAAGAACAGACATAAGCACACAGGCATATATTTACAGAGGCACGATTATGCATGTTAGCTCTGTGTTCGGTGTTGTATCTTATGTACCTAATTATATGTCAGTTTACTACATGACATATACATATACATATATACATATATATATATATACACATGTATTTTTATATATTTCTAATTATTTTTATGTATATGCTTACTCACACCGCAAGACCAACCGGCGGTGTCGAAGCAGGTGTTGCGAGCGTCGAGAGATGTCGAAAGACGTGTTTTATCTGGGTGCCTGGAATGGTCCTTATCAATACAGAGTGTTGGAACCCAGCTCTTTGTGCTCCCTCCAGTTGAGTCTCCAGCAGACCCTGCTTGCATACCCTCGGTTCCAAGACATGTTGAGGCAGACAGCGCCAAGACAGAAGCAGCCGGAGACATCTTCTCGCCGCTTTGCGAACATGGCACCCCAATGTGGGCAAGTTGGGATACGCAAGGCGGCGAAGGTGATGCCATATCAGCGGAAGGTCTAGATTCGGGAAGCCAGCTCACTCGGCCTTGGCTTGAAATGCGGACAGTTTGGGGTGTTTAAGAAGCAAGGGGCTCGGGGGCGATGCTCTTACATGGGACCACACTCGCAGGCTGATACCAAGAATCGCTGCACATCTCCGAGGGCGAAGAAGCTGCACTTAAAGTCAACAGCGAGCTTGCTAAGTGGTGTCAAGTGCAGCCGCCAGAACCTTTCATTTGGCATGTCGTCCTTTCTCCCAGGCTTTTCCGATCCCATTTGCAGGGAATCTTGGAGCGAGCAACTGCCTCGGATATTTTTGGTTGGGTGCAGTGTCGGGGCGTGGAGCGCTTGGCTGCAAGCTCAGGTTCATGACAGCCTCCTGCATTTGCGTTTCACTTGTAGCTACGGCAGCTATGGGTTGTGGAAGTACGTTCGACGGTTTGGCATCATCTTGGGCTGGAAGCTGAAATTTAAGATTGTTTGTTCCTCTTGGGAGCTCAAGAAGGTTCTGAGAGGTCCATGTCCATCAGTCCGCCTGAAGATGCTCGAGATCCGCAGGGCTTTGGCAGGTTTTGGGCGTCTTGCATTCGAGCATACATGCTTGTTGAACTGATAAGCTAGGATAAACTTGAGCTTCTCTCTTGGATGAGAGTAACAGCAGTTGATAAATGCTCAGCAACAAGCAACGAAGCTCGGTGACGGGAAGCATGTTTCTGCCGGCAGCGCCATGAACGCGGGTCTTTCACCGGTCACCGCTTGAGGTTGCAGTCATCTAGCCGTCTGCAAAGAGGCTTCGAAGGCAGGATCCTACAAAAACCTGCGAGGCCTCCCAAGTGCAGGGATCTCCGAGATGCTGCAGGAATTCCCACCTCGAGCTCTTGGAGGGGCCGAGGGGCCCTGATCCCGAAAATGCCGGTGGCAGAGCATCCTCCCACTATGTGCAGCACAGAACTTCTTCACTGCCACCGGCAGGGCACACGGTTTGCTCATCATGCCTGCGCGAACGCAGATCCATCTCCCGCAGAGCTCGATTGCATGTGGCCTCTTGCAGCTCGGTGACTCTAAATGACCCACAACTGTTCAAATCAGGCAGCTCACGAGGGAGCTGAGTCATGAAACAAAGCCAGAACCTGCGTAAACCAAAAGCGGCAATGAGTGGTGTCATTAAGGAAGGCAGTTTGGAACTTGGATGCTCAGGAGGGAGAAGTCTCACTCTTGAAACAGGCAAGGCCACTTCAAGCAGGACACAAGTGCTGGATAAAGCACAACTCCCAGCCGCACTATGCAATGACCATGTGATGCTTCAATCACGCTTATAGCGACAGCGCACAAAGACTACAAAGACTTGCCCCGAAGCCCTTGAAACTGATTTAACTTACCCGCCCCTCATCCTCCAATTGCACAAGCCCACAACCCGTTCAGAGCCGTGTCTTGTGGGAAGGTTGCACAGAGACGATCTTTCTGCTGAGGCCTTGCAGCCACAACAGCAAAGCCAAGGGGGCGTTGCTGTTGCATCGCCAGTGCCCGACATGGCTCCTCCACTACAGGCCAAGCTCCCAATTTTGCGCAACCGACCAGATCTGAGATTCTAAGTCAGATTTTGTTCTCGGTTTACATGTGCGCTGTAGTCTCTTGGGTTCAAGATTCTCAAGTTGGCTTCGGGGCTTGGCACGAATGTGTGGGCGGTGAAGTCTCGGTTTGAGATTTTTGTGCAGAGGACCCAGGGTAAAAGCTAGTGATTCTGGCTGAACAACTGACAAGGATGGCTCCACAGAACTCAAGACTGCAACGCTTAGCTGATAAACACGTCCAGCTTACTGCCGTTGTCGCTGCGATGAGGTTCTGGGGCAAGTCAAGACACGCCAAACTTACATCTAGGTCTCGGACGTGCAAACTGTCAATCCCTTGCCGCTGTGATTTAAGCTTCGTCTGAAGCTCTTGTCGTGTTTCGAGATCAGGTCTTACGGATTGTGCAGCGGCGTCTTTGGACTTTTAGACCACATATGCTCTCTTGCGACCTTTTGTTTGGATCTCTCCCCTCCCCCTTGACCCCTCAACGTCCAAATGCCAGGAGAGGCGGGGCTGTGAGGAAGTCTCTTCTTGACTCGAGCTTTTGGAAGATGTAGAAAGTCTAGCTCCCGAGCATCATGCGCCAGGTCCTGGCGGCCTTCATGCAATTCACAGTGTCCCTGTACCCGGACCAGGTGCTGCGATCTCTGAGCAAGTGCCTAAAGCTAGAGCAGCCCTTATTCCTCGAGAGCTGATTTGAGGCTTACGGCTCCAGCTTTCCATGGTGGCTTTCTCTCTTCGCTTGCTGGAGGGATTATACAAGAGCCCGAGCCTGCAATCCAACCTGGTACATGCGTTTCGAGGAAGAACTAGAGCAGCCCTGAGCCACAAACGATGCTGGTGTTATTCTTATTGTTGCCGCCGCTGCAGTTGCTCCTGCTGCTGCTGCTGCTGCAATAGGTGCAGGTGTGCGTGTAGGTGTAGGTGTGGTTGTAGTAGTTGTTGTAGTTATTGTATTATTATTATTAGTAGTAGCAGT